AGGTGAAACAGATGTCCTTTAAACGGAACGGTTCCGAGTGCTGCATCTACAGGGTGCCCAAACCGCTTCGACACGTAAATTGGAAAGCCTACGCTCCACTACTGATTTCAATAGGTCCTCTTAACCGCGAAAATACAAGACTAGAGGCCATGGAAAAGGAGAAACTGAAATGTTTCAAAAAGCTTACTGGACGGGACGGGATGGATAAGAAGAAGATTATTGATATTTTGATCAGCATTGAGAACCAAGCAGCGCGTCTCCGACACTGTTATTCAGAGAAATTCAAATTAATCGAGAGCCGCGATTTCGTAAAGATGATCCTGCTGGATGCTGTCTTCATCATTCAGTTTTTGTTGGAGTCATATGATCATGATAACGGTCCTAAGAATTTTGAGCCCAGGATGACATTAGACATACGAGAAGACTTGATGCTACTTGAAAACCAACTCCCATTCTTCATTATTCAGGAAATATATGACCAGGTCAATCCCCCTAGCCAGGATGGTACAGCCATTCCTCTTCTTGATCTTGCAAAGTTTCATTTTGGAAAGCACAAGTTTGCACAATGGGGAGAAACCAGCCTGAGTGTAAAGGGAAGCAGGCATTTCACTGATTTACTGAGGAATTTGATGTTGAATGGAGCCATTCAGCGAAGTTATTAGAGCTTGGACCCTACCATGCTGAAATATAGTGCAGTCATGCTACGCAAGGCAGGAGTGAAGTTTCAGGTCACCCAAGACAAGTGTTTGGTCAACATAACATTTGACAAAGGAGTGTTGAAAATTCTGTAGCAAATTGTCAACATTTTTCTCAACCACCATCAACCACCCTCTCCTTTAACAACCACCATCAACCACTTCCAACCACCATTCAACCACCATCAACCACCCTCAACCACCCTCAACCAAGTTGCCAAGACTCTCCTATAAATAGAGATAAAGAGAGAGCAATGTAATAAGTGTAGTGAAATTGTGGTGAGAGCAAAAGTGCAGTGAAATTGTGGTGAGAGCAAAAGTGTAGTGAAAGTGTGGTGAGTGCAACTGTGAGAGTGAGAAAATACAGATTTGAGAGAAACACCGAGTGTAAGAGTGAAACACCCGGTTAAGTGGGATTGTACTGGGTTGAGTTGAGTGTTTGTATCATTCCTCCAATAATATACAATCTGCTGCCTCCGTGGACGTACCCGATTTTGGGGAACCACGTAAATCTGTTGTTTGTGTTTTATTTGTGTTTGCTTTTGGTCCAGTATGCGCAACAATTGGTATCAGAGCATTAGGGAAGCTTGAACACTGAAAAAAAACACCTTTTTCAGCTCTCTGTTCAAAGTTGCAGAATTTTCAAAGTTCTCAGATCTTGATTTTGACCACCTGTGGAGATTCCTCTCGTTGATACGAGTCCGGCGATATAAAGATCATCAAAATCGGAGTTGAAACGAGCCCTGTAGAGCTCGCCGAAGTTTCGCCGGAAATCTGCCGGAAAAACCAGACTGTGCCGGAAATCTCACCTGAGAAGACAGCCACGTCATCCGACACGTTGGCGCTGAGTCACCATCCACGTCATCAACAGAGGGTCCACATTGCCATGTCATCAGACACATCATCTAACAGTGACAGAATATTCTCTTGACAGAATAAGAATATTCCATTGACAGTAAGAGAATATTCCGTGACAGAATATTCTTCATCAGAGACAGAATATTCCTTCCCTGAGTTAACTCGGTCAGATTGATTTTTTGGCCAACTCAGTGATGTTTTGACCGGTTTTAGGCCGAGTCAAGTTGGTTCCTAGCATTTTCAACCATTCCGGACGCAACCGTGGTGTCCGTTTTGTGAAACAGCACACCGAAGTTACTGTTTTGGCTCTTTTGAGCATAAAAGTGCATGTTTTAACAATTTCGGGAGCCTATTTGTAATCCAAAGACGTCCTAATGGCTGATATTCCAGAAGAAAAATTAGTGGGAAATGCTAGTATACCTCCACAATATATCCCGGTATCGAGTACCAAATTTGAGGTGGAGAAGTTTGATGGGAAGGGTAATTTTGGCATGTGGAAATGTGAAGTCATGGATATGCTTGTCCAAATGAATTTGGATTTCACTCTAGAAGATAAACCGGAGGATTTGGATGATAAAAGCTAGGAAAGGATAAATCGGTTAGCTTGCAGTTCCATCCGACTTTGTCTTGTAAAGGATCAGAAGTACGCCTTTTCAGAACAAAACTCTGCAAAGGAATTATGGCAAGCACTGGAGGACAAGTTTATGAAGAAGAGTATAGAGAATCGTCTCTACTTGAAGAAAAGGATCTTCCGCTTTCAGCACAAGAAAGGTACTTCTATGAATGAGCATCTGAATGATTTCAATAAAATGATAGCTGATTTGAAGAATTTAGATGTGGAAATTGATGATGAAGATAAAGCTCTGCTGTTATTGAATTCACTGCCTGACACATATGAACATCTCGTCACCACTTTACTGTATGGTAAAGAAAAGATTAAATTCATTGATGTGTCCAATGCTTTGGTGAACAATGAGTACCGGAAGAAGGATCAGATTGTTCACAAAGAGTCAACGTCAGAAGCATTGACAGTTAGAGGCAGAACAAACCCTAGAAGATTTCGAGGGCGAGGGAGATCTCGCTCAAAATCCAGAGGAGAATCATCAAACAGACGATATCTTGCAAAGGATGAGTGTGCCTTTTGTCATAAAAAGGGGCACTGGAAGAAAGATTGTCCGATCAAGGGCAATAAGGAAAAAGATGAACCAACTGTGAACGTTGCACGAGATGAGGATGAACGAGACTCTGCATTCATGGTCTCATCACCAGAAAACCATTCTGGTGAATGGATTCTTGATTCTGCATGTTCCTATCACATGTGCCCTAACAAGCACTTATTCTCGAGACTCGAGGAGTTCGATGGAGGAGTTGTGTTGATGGGTAATGATGATGTTTGTGAGATCAAAGGGATTGGGACTATCCATCTGAAGATGCATAATGGGGTAGTCAAGACACTGACAGAGGTACGGTATGTACCTGACCTGAAGAAAAATCTCTTCTCACTTGGAGTCCTAGAATCCAATGGTTATAAGATTATCATGCATGGTGGAGTCCTGAGAGCAATCCGTGGTGCATTAGTTGTCTTAAGAGGCACGAGGAAAGGAAACTTATATTTCCTGGATGGATCTACTGTTACCGGTACAGCAGCTGTTTCCAAAAGCATAGAAGATGATGAAGCAGATAATTCCAGACTTTGGCACATGCGTTTAGGGCATGCTGGTGAAAAGGCTTTGCAAGGATTGGTCAAGCAAGGTCTATTAAAAGGCGCCAAGACTGGGAAGCATGGGTTCTGTGAGCATTGTGTTCTTGGAAAACAGACAAGAGTCAAGTTTGGCACTGCGGTACACAATACAAAAGGGATTCTTGATTATGTTCACACAGACGTATGGGGACCTTCAAAGAATGAATCTCTTGGAGGTAATCGTTGGTTTGTTACTTTTATTGATGATTTCTCAAGACGAGTATGGGTGTACATGATGAAACACAAGGATGAGGTCCTTGATATCTTTCTGAAATGGAAGAAAATGGTGGAGACTCAAACGGGAAGGAGAGTTAAGACTCTTCGGTCAGATAATGGTGGTGAGTACACTTCAGATCCTTTCTTTAAAGTTTGCCAGGATGAAGGGATCAAACGACATTTTACTGTGCGTAAAACACCACAACAAAATGGAGTAGCAGAACGCATGAATCGCACATTGGTAGAGAAAGTCCGATGTATGCTATCACATTCAGGACTAAGCAAAGTGTTCTGGGGCGAGGCATTAAGCTATGCTCGTCATATTGTTAACCGGTTACCTTCAGCAGCATTAAATGGAAGAACCCCTTTAGAGGTATGGTCAGGCTCTCCTGCAAATGATTATGACTCTATGCGTATATTTGGTTGCTCAGCATATTATCATGTTACTGAGTCCAAGCTAGATCCTAGAGCCAAGAAAGCTATATTTTTGGGCTTTAGTGGAGGAGTAAAAGGTTACAGACTCTGGTGTTCTGAATCAAAGAAAGTGATTTTGAGTAGAGATGTCACTTTTGATGAGTCTGGCATGTTACAACAAGAGAAATCACAGGAGAAGGAAAAACAGTCTGGTGATGCACAACAGGTGGAGTTGGAGACTTCAGTCATTCCTATAAAGACTGTTCAGAAAATCTCTAATGAAGGAGATTCAGATGAAAGTTCAGATGAAGAGGATGCAACAACTTCAGCAACCACACAACAAGAATCCATTGCAACGAGTAAACCGAAAAGAGTTATCAAGAAACCTGCTCGGTATTGTAACATGGTGGCTTATGCACTTCTGGTGATTGATGACGGAATCCCCTGCACCTACAAAGAAGCAGTACAGAGTGTAGAAAGTGCAAAATGGAAAGAGGCAATGGATGAAGAGATGAAATCTCTCCACAAGAATCAGACTTGGGATTTGGTACAACTCCCTAAGGAAAAGAAGACAATTGGTTGCAAGTGGGTATATGCTAAGAAGGAAGGTAATCCAGGAAAAGACAACATCCGTTTCAAAGCAAGATTGGTAGCAAAAGGCTATGCTCAAAAGGAGGGGATAGATTATAATGAGGTATTCTCCCCAGTTGTTAAGCATTCATCAATTCGTATTCTGCTAGCCTTGGTTGCACAGTTTGATTTGGAGTTAGCCCAACTTGATGTGAAAACTGCCTTCCTACATGGAGATTTGGAAGAGGAAATTTACATGTCTCAGCCAGATGGTTTCAAAGTCACTGGGAAAGAGAATTGGGCTTGTAAACTGAATAAGTCACTGTATGGATTGAAACAATCTCCTCGCCAGTGGTATAAGCGATTTGACAAGTTCATGATAGAACATGGATACACACGGAGTCAGTTTGATCATTGTGTATATTTTCGCAAACTTCTTGATGGTTCTTTCATCTATTTGCTCTTATATGTGGATGATATGTTGATTGCATCAAAGAGCAAAGTGGAGATTGACAGACTGAAAGCTCAACTGAGAACTGAGTTTGAAATGAAGGATCTTGGAGAAGCTAAGAAGATTCTTGGCATGGAGATTCAGAGAGACAGAAGAAAAGGCACAATCTGTTTGACACAGACCCAATACTTGAAGAAAATTCTAAAGAGATTTGGGGTAGATGGTAAGACCAAGCCTGTAAGTACACCTCTAGCTCCTCATTTTAAGCTAAGTGCTTCAATGTCTCCACGCACAGAGGAAGAGCGCAAGTATATGGTTCAAATTCCGTATGCAAATGCAGTTGGTGCATTAATGTATGCAATGGTTTGTACGAGACCAGATATTTCACATGCAGTCAGTATGGTGAGTAGGTATATGCATGATCCGGGAAAGGGTCATTGGCAGGCAGTTAAGTGGGTTCTACGGTACATTTATGGCACAACTGATATTGGTTTGAAGTTTGAGAGGGATGATAGACTCAAACAAAATTTAGTTGGTTATGTGGATTCGGACTATGCTGGTGACTTAGACAAGCGTCGTTCCACAACAGGCTATGTGTTTACACTTGCTAAAGGGCCTGTAAGTTGGAGGTCAACTTTACAATCAACAGTAGCTTTGTCAACAACTGAGGCAGAGTACATGGCAGTAACAGAAGCTTTCAAGGAAGCTATATGGTTA